ACCCTTGGAAATAAAGCCAGTTAGAAGCATGGCTGACCTGGAACAGTTTATTTAAACTCTTAACCTTTAAGCATTTTGTGAATAAATACTATTTGTTTGAAAGCTTTCCTCTATTTAAAATTATTTTGTTTCTGTTGTGGTTGAATTGGAAGGCTGTGATCCTATGCTTATTGAAGAACACAATTTAACAGCAATGGCCATTCCTTCAGGTAGCAATTGACTGCACCATCATGGAACCCTCTAACTAATCCCCAGGTGCCTTCAACTCTTTGGCTGTTTAATCCAGAATATCTGGGAGCAGCAAAATGGTAATAATGCTGCATTAAGGAACTGCAGTACAGATAAGTAACTTAGAAAATGGCAATTCATTAGATGAAGCCACTGAAATACTCAAAGCAATCCTTTCTGCCCTGGGGAAGAAGAGTGGGTGGGCTAGCTTTCTGAGACCCTCTCAAGCTGATCTTGTTTTGTTTTTTTAACGTCCAGCAATTGGTGTCTGTTCTTGAACTGTAGTCCTAGTCAAAAATGAAGTTCAGCCAGCTTTACTGAGTTAGGGTTCCCTTTAGTGGTGCTGTTGGAGGTAAGAGAGCAGGGAAGCAATGGCAGCAGTCAATTGAGCTGCAGCAATGCCTAGAGTTTTGTTAACATTTTGTCTTGCATTTAAGGAAGATTTCACTCTAGACTTGCATAAGTCCTCTGTCAGGCAGGACTCGGTTAAGAAGAGTTGTTGTTGAGGAAGAATTTTGGCTGACTTCAGGATTTCGGCCGTCTACAAGTGATGTACACTCATTACAGTAATAAATTCCATTCCTATTCAAAAGAGCATTGGCATGTGACTTAAATCAGAAAGTAAAGAAGCATCTGCTATTGCAGTGGCAAAAATACGAAAGGATAAGGTACTTCTTGTAACTATTAAGATGTAAAGATATAGTGGAATCAGAGACTAGTGGAAATAGTGGACTCAAACATAGTTGAAAGTGACCTTTGGAAGTCATGTGGTCTAGCCTCCTGCTTGAAGCTGTCCAGTCAAAGTCTGAGTATCTCCAAGAACAGAGGCTCTGGGCAGCCTGTGTTTGCCCCAGTGTTTGGCAACACCACCCTCATGCTGATGCCTAGTTGGAATTTCCTGAGTTGCAGCTTGTATCCTTTGCATCTCGTCCTGTTTCATGAGTAGCTCAGCTATTGATGCTAGTGACTTGAGTGTTTTTCAGTAACATGAGAAAAAGAGGGGAGAAGAAATGTTACTTCAGTGAAATTACTTCAGTGCAGAAAGTGTGGTTAAAAGGGCGTCATGCTCAAGTATTCTCATATTTGAGCCTGTCAAATTTTGAAAGGCTTTATGTGAAAATATTTACTAGAAATGGTTATAAATTTTACATTGAAAATGGCAAATGACATGTGTCGGGGTCCGATTGGAGGAAAACCCCAGTGCTGGACCTTGTTTCAGTTCATGATCCCAAGAGTGAAATTAAGATACAAATGAGGTCAAGTACCGTAATCGAACAATTTATTTTACAAAAAGAGTTATTATAGTAATAAAGGGTTAGCAATAGGACAGATTGAAAAAAAGGCAGAGAATGAAGTAAGAATTTGGGGTGCAGAGAGAGAGAGAGAGAGTCACCACCATGAATCCAGTGGTGTTCAGGGATCTGTTGTTGTTGGTGGTGGGAGTTCTTCAGGGTTTGTAGTCAGTATCAGAGCAGAGTGTCCCCCAAGAGTTGTTGGTGAGTATCGTCATGGAGGCATCCCTCTGGAGTCCCCTTGAAGGTACCCCATGGAGTGTGTCTCATTGAGTTGCCCTTATGGTGATGTCTCATGGAGGGTGTCCCTCAAGGTCTGTAGCAGTCATCGGTGGTGAGTGTCCTCACAGAGGTGTCCTTCTGGAGTAATCCTCATGGCCATGGCTCCTTGGTGATGTCCCTCTTGGTGCTGTATCTCTTGGGGATTACCTTTCTTTCTCCTTTTGTAAAGAGTTGAGGGTTGAGTACCTCTGTTCTTCATGTCACATATTACATGTTCCTGGTGGACCAATTTCCCTGGTCCTGCAGCCAGCTCTTTGACACACATGTGTCTGCAGCAGCTCTTGGGGTAATAGCTCACACCAGTCCTCAAAGTAATGGATGGAAGAGTCTTAGCTCTTTCCCACTCATCCCTCAGGCGATGGATGGTGAAGTCCCAGTTCAGGTCCTCACACCCTTCTCCCAAGCAATGGATGGAAGAGTCTTATCTCAACTCCTCCCACCCATCTCTGAGACAAACGATAGGTGGATTTCCATCTCAGCTTCTCAGACCAATCTTTGAGACAATGGACAGTGAAATCTGATTTCAAATCAGTCTCTCACAACATGGTAAGATTATTGTAGGGAACAGGCTACTTGGTTTGGAAGCATAAAGTGCTGCTTCCACTATTGTATAGCCTGTTACACTTCCTGACCTGTTTAGGCAGGGTGATACTGTCCTCATACTGATATTTCAGGTTAGAACTAAAATTCTAGGGCTTATTATTATACAAAGACTTAGATGAAAAATGCTCTTCTAAAGGTAGAACGGGAAGAATCACTTCTCGTCATCTTCAGTTTACACTTCCAGTTTTGTATCTGGTTTTCTGCAGTATGCTGTCACTTGCCTTATATGGCAATTGTTATTTTAGGAAAGTTGGGGTACTTACAGAATCATATAATGGTTAGGGTTGGATGGGACCTTAAAGCTCATCTAGTTCCAGCACCCCTGCCCTGGTCAGGGATGCCTTCCACTAGATCAGGTTGCTCAAAGCCCCATCAAAAATAAAATTCAAGTTTCTTCAGTTTAGAAAAAAGGATGTCGTGCAGGACAGTGTCAAATGCATTGCACAAGTTCAGGTAGATGTCACTTGCTCATCCCTTATCCACCAATACTGTAACCCCATTGTAGAAGGCCACCTACCAAATTTGTCAGGCACGATCTGCCATTAGTGAAGCCATATTTGCTGTCACAAATCACCTCCTTGTTGTCCATGTGTCTTAGCATAGTTTTTCGTGGGATATGATGCATGATCTTGCCAGTCACAGAGATGGGAATGACTGGCCTGTAGTTCCCCGGCACTTCCTTTCTTTCACTTTTCAAAAATGGGAGTTGTTTCCTCTTTTCCAGTCCATGCGACAGTGGACTGCAACAGCTCATCAAATATGATGGTTAATGGTTTAGCAACTTCATCTGCAAGTTCCCTCAGAACCACGGATACATCTCAGCAGGTTCCATGGACTTGTGCACCTTCAGGTTGCTTAGATGGTCTCAAACCTGATCTTCTCCTACAGCAGGTGGTTCTCCATGCAACCAGTCCATGCATTTGCCTTCTGCAGCTTGGGCAGTGTGGCCGGTTGCCTATGAAGACTGCGACAAAAAACTCTGCTATTTATTTCCAAGTGGTCGAGTACTAACCTATTGTGTTAATGGCAAAAGGCCAGTGTCAGTTAATAGAATATGATACTTGAGAGTTGGGGAATGCCTTCCTATATTTGGCATTTGTTAAATTAACATTTGTAAGCATGTTTCTTTCCAGCTACCAAGTGGTTGTTGTTGCATCTGTGCCCTTTGCTCTTTCAAGTACTTATTCCTGGCTGCTTTATGCCTACTTATGTTCTGCAGTCTCTGGCTCTAATCAGCAGGGCATAGCCCTCTATTTTGATGTGTTTTCAGATCCTCTCTTAGATTGTGAAGTGATGTAATGATGTAGATTACATAGCTCAGGATGGCTGCTTAGTTAAAACAGGTGTAGGTCTGGCACTTACAATGAGTGCTTTGCCACAGAGATCATTTTCAGTATAAGTCATGGGTTATTGCTCCTGTAGTAGCAGAAACAGAATAAATGGCTTATCTTGCTCTGAGCTTGCTGCAGGTATAGAGAAAACAAAATAAGCTTCCATCAGGTTTTGGTGAAACTGTTACAGCTTTTCCCCTTTGTCCTTGAACAAAGCTAAATATTCCTTCCCTTTTCCTGATAGTATTTTTTTTTCTCCATCACTAACAGGTATATATAAGGGTTTGTTTGTTTGGGGTTTTTATAATTATTCTAAATAGCTATGTTCTTTGCCTAATTTCTTTCTCATTTTCTTGAAAACTTTTCATGGAAATGCAGACCTTTCATAGTGATTATTTCATTGTTATTCTTGCTTTCTTTTTTTCAGTTACCTTTTGCCTGGCATTTAGTGGATGCACAGGTTGAAAGTCACTGTATTTGAGACCCACATCCTCAACTCCAGAACAGCTGTGTCAACAAAAGTCTGTGCTGTGCATATGACCTTGTAGTTGATTTAAGTAAGCACGTGAACATATAACTGGAGTTGATAATTTCTAGCTAGCCAAAAGGCACCAATTCTTGTCTGAAAGACTTACTGATAATGCTCTGTTGCCTATGTAGGCACAGATGTTAGTCTCATTTTATATTGTGTGTAAGCATTTAATACTTACACATTTTATGTGTAAGTATTGGTATTGTGTACCTGAACTTGCAAAGCTGTATCGGAAGTTCTTGTTGTGCTAACAGCAGTGAAAGTACAACAGTGTGGGGTGGTCAAGTCAATGAATTTCCGAGATGCTGGGTTTAGATAGTCTGTTGCTGAGGAACTGTGGTGCTGTGCCTAGCTTACATTTCATTTGCATTACCCAGGCTGGTTTTAGTCTGCATCTATGCATGCTTGCTGCAGTTATATGGTAAATTTAGTGCAGATGAGGTATAGCAAAAGGGGTTCTGTTTTCTGTTAGTATTTGGTGGTTTTCTGCTCCTTCCCAGTCAATGCTGATAACTCACATATTCAGTTTGTTGTAAACCTAGTCTAAGGTTATAAGTGAGTCCTTAGTCCAAAATTAGAAAAATAATTTTAAGTATACAAGAAGCATCTGTTTGTAGTCTTTTTATAATTGTCTATAGTGAAATACACACCTTTCTCCATCTCTTACTAAAAGATGCATAAGTACAGAAAGACGGATTGAGACTTAAGTAACAAGTGAAACCATGTTTTTAGGACTGTTCTACAGAAAATGTAAGCTGGTTTCTAAGACGGAAGTTACCCATGACACCAAGCTCTTCTGCTTACTGTTGCCTGAGAGCACACATCTCCGTGTTCCCACTGGACAACATGTTTACCTCAAACAAATCATTGCAGGTAAGAAAAATTAAGAATGTAACAATGTGTATGTTAACAAATCCCTTTTTGTAATCTTGGGAGAATGCAAAGTCCATGGCAACTGATTCCCTGGTTGTAGTTAGAAAGTCTCTGCTTCCAGGATCACAGTCAGTGCTTAGTAATGAACAGACTGGATTAATACTGCTGTAAAGATAACTCTTAAAGTGGATGGTACTTACTTGACCTTACCAGCTCTTCTTTCAACTCCCTTTAAAACAATTTCTCTGCTGAAGTAGTGCTGTTCAGATTTGGTGGGCAGGGGGAAGCTCATCGTGTATGTGTTATATACGATTATCCAGTTCCTTTTAGTTTACAGCCTTTTTGCCATGTGGGGGATAATGTTGCAATTTTGCCCCTCCCCCCCCTTTTTTTTTTTTCAGAGGTATTTATAGTAGTCCTGGTAACACTGCTTTACAATCCAGTTGTATATTAGCCGTAACGTGAGGTTGTGAGAAAAATGCATCTTGAAAAAGCATTGTTTAAGTGTTATTCTTTCAAATTTTGTAAAAGGTGAACTTAAAATGAGAGGTCAAAGAAATAACTGGTTTATTTTCTTAAGGATAATTTTTAACATTTATATACTAATGGTTATGCTGGTCACTGTATGTCACATTGAAGGAGGGTTTTACCCCAAACATTTATGTTCAGTGGGTCTGTCAAGGTCCCAGGAAAGCTGAGACCCTTGAGCCTGATTGGCCTGTTGGAGCCCTCTGCAGGTGGTCCCCTGGACAGCATGCTGTATTGGGGAGTGATTTGACTGTCCTGCTTGGGGATTTGCGCTAATGGACTCACTCATCAAGTTAATTACTCAGGTTCCCAGAAACTCACACAATATAGATCTTGGATGAGAATTTTTATTATACAAATTTCTAACTGACTGAGGTTCAAATATTGCAGTTGACAGTATACTAACTGCAAGAACAAGTGTGAAATAACTTCACAAAAGCCAGCTAAAGTTAGTCATTAAGCACACTAGAGTATAGCTCTTAGCCACTAAGCATCCCTATACCCTCAGGGAAGGGTCTTTGACCTGGGGTGTGATTTTTAGTATTATAATGAGAGTATAATGAGGATAGTTCATCTGAAGGACACCCTAATCATTTTTTTTCTACACATGAAGTCACAGGCAGCCAAGAAGGCCAACAACATCCCAGCCTGTGTCAGAAATAGTGTGGTGAGCAGGACTAGGGAAGTAATAATCCTGCTAAAACTGATGCTACTGAGGCCACACCTCAAATAATCTGTTCAGTTTTTGGTCCCTCACTACAAGAGAGAATGAGGTGCCAGAGCAGGTCCAGAGAAGGGCAGCAAAGTGGTGAGGAGCCTGGAGCACAACCTGGAGCACAAGTCTTAGAAGGAATGGTTGAGGGAATTGGCATTGTTTAGTCTGGAGAAGAGTTGGGGGGATGGGGACGGGACATTATTGCTGTTTACAACTACCTGAAAGGGAAGGCAGAGAGAAGAGGCAGATGGTCTCTTTCCCCAAGTAACAGGACAGGAAGTAATGGCCTCAAGCTGCACCAGGGAAGGTTTAGACTGGATATTAGGAAAAAATTCTTCATCAAAAGGGCGATCAGGTATTGGAACAGGTTGCGCACAGAAGTGGTAGAATCAGTGTCCCTGGAAGTGTTCAGTAGCCATGTAGATGAGACCCTTAGTTGACATGGTTTAGTGGTAGACATAGCAGTCCCGGGGTAATGGTTGGTCTTGATGATCTTAAAGGTGTTTCCCAACCTAGTTGATTCTGTGATGTCCATGTGTCAGGAAGTACTTGACTTCAAGGGCAGTCATTCCTTATTAGAGGTTCATCAGTCCTGTTTTCCTTAATCCACCTACACAAGGCTAGAGCTTCCTTTCCCGCTATCAAGTCTCGTAAGTCAGTATCGTTCTCAGGTCTCCTAACCTTATAGGAAGCCTGTTATCTGTTCAGGCCTTTTCACAGGTTACTTAACACAAGTTAAAATTATTTTACCTCTATGCCTATGGAGCTTGAGTGACTCAGTCACACTCTTTGTTACTGATGGGTGTAAAATTCTCTTGCTTTGCTTTTCATAACATAAATGTAGTTTGCTTGTTTGGCAGCTGTGTGCAATTTATCAGTGCATGGTGCTTTCAAGTTCCCACTCCTGCAGGGAGTACAACAGAGCCTGGCCGCGGGGCCTTCACTCCGCTCCACCCTCCGTTCAGTTTCTCAGCATATGCCAAGATTGCAGGGTTGCCTGGGGAACTATCTTCTGGGAGATTCTGTGCATGCCAACCACATTCCATGCTGGAAGTAGCAGCTGCATTTTACCCTAAAATTTCCTTAATGTTATATTATAACTTTGGGAGTTTGGAGGATTGGTCTCTAATTTCCCCCATTTTCCCACATAATCCACACGGTGACTATAGTCACTCAAGCTTCATAATATTTAGTCTGATTTAGGGATATCTTCTGCATATATAGTATGCGGATTGTCATGCACGTATACATTCTCCGGGGGAAAGTGATAAATGACTCACTTTACAATAATCCAGATTCTAATCTACAATACAGTGATGAAGAGCAAAATAGTTAATATCAGTTAGAATAGCAACAAGGTGAAGCATGTTGTTGAGAATTCCTGTAGCAGTTGGTGACCATCCAAGAAGAGTTCCCCACTGATGTTCTGCATCTTTCTTTGCTCATTCCAGCACATGATGTATTTCTTCTGCGTCGTGATGGACAGCAATTAATCTTTTGCCCATTGTCCTGATCTTGCTTCAGCAACCATTTCAGGTCTTCATATTGTAGCAATTTTCTTATTAAATTGAGATTCATCCCAATAGGGGTAGGCAGTAGGTCTTGAATAAGCATCTCATCAGTCAATAAGATGTGACAGGAGCTGAGTAAGTGAAATCGCGTCCTATAATCTCAACAAAATTACAAACACAAATAGTTGAGTGATTGTTTGTATTCCAGGTAATATTATCTTTGTGTATAAAAGCACAGAGTTTCCATGCTTGTGCATCCTTTGCCAATACATACAATTACAGTTTCAAAGTTTTCATTAGGATGTATTTCAAAATGGCAAATGTTCTGTTCAGAGTCAAGACAAATGTCTTGAGCTTTGAAGGTATTACTCTCAAATAAATCCTTGCTGTTTGCACGCAATGCTTGAATGGATATTGCCATTTATTTCCATCCTTTGGGCCTATGCTCTAGGGGATAGAATATAGCTCCATTGTGATTCAGTACTAACAATGATTGGGTATATAGTATAAACTGAAGCATTGTGTATAGTTAACACAAGAGCTGTGGCCATGCTGTTGATGGGATTGTAAGTAAAATTTACTAAATACCACCAGGACTGGAACTTTTTCAAAAAGTCAATTGCATTATCCCAAATTACTTCCCAAATTTCAGTGGGTAGGGTACCTTCTTCACCGTCTCATATCTTTTACCAGCGTTATAAATGTGAGAGACAGTTGGGTAGGGGGCTGAGTTAGTGAATATGCTTGTTCAATATTAATCTTGAATTGAAGACCTAAGCTCAAATGAGAGTTGAGTCTGTCCAGTGACACGTTGTGAGTGCTGAAAGGGGTAGTTTTGAAGTATACCAGCATTCTTGGAACTAGATGATCTTAAGGTCCTTTCCAACCCTAACCATTCTATGATTCATGTTTAAAAGGATAGATATGTACATTGTCTTCTCCTTCAGCATAGTTTACAATAATGTGGAAGACTGTCATGCATTTAGTGTGCTTTTCAATTCAGCATCCTATCAAAATGATGTCTCCTTTAATTACCCTTAAAGATGGTATTTGTTGATTTTTTTTTTTTTTTTTTTTTTTTATTTTCACTTGCATAATCCACTCTTGCCTGTAAGAGGTGATGTTATTGTGTAGAACTACTGCAGACAAATTTAGACCAGGCTTAGGCACGTCTGGAAGTATGTACATCTCTATCCATGGCCACAAAAATGTCACAATTTGCATTTGACAATCACAAAATCAAACAATAGTTCTACGTTACATGTTCCCCAGGAATAAAATGCAAGTATGTGTAAAAGTAAAATAGCACCAGCTGGTACCAGATTCTGGTATTTCATAACAAGACTTCTTGTTGTTACCTGGTTTAGAAAGATTAGTATGACATATTTCAATGGCTTTTTCATGGATTGATCCCTTGATTGCCCAGCACCCTTATTTGTATTTCTTCCTCTGGCATTGCTTGGAGTGCTAATGCTTCAGAAGTGGTACTTAGTGAGTTATTTCAATCTTTTTTATGTATGGTTTCTCCCACTTCTACTCATGCTGTGCATATACTTCAGTTCCATGCACAACTACAGTGGCTAAGTTTAAGTGTGTTTTACTGGAATGTAGCTTCAAGTGTACTAAAGGTAGGCTTGGGAACATGGCCACTCTAGAGTTTTCAGGCCACAGGTTACAAGAGGCATCATTGCCAGCCCCTGGAATATTAGCATGGGTGCAGCATTGCTCTTTGTCATCTTAAAATTTGTGTTTCCAGCTGACCATGCACTGTAGAAATAGCACCACAGCTAAAATAGATGACATATTTGTGTGTATGCATTCACGGTTGGTATAGGCTAATCCTTCCATCCATAGGCAGTTCATTCAGGGTTCCTGCAAGAAAAAAGAGATGCCATGTGCTCGGTTGAAAATACAACCGGCGGGTGTTAGTTAAGAGGAGGGTAAAATCCATCGGGTACTGATCCCATGTACATTTCCTGAGTAATTCCTAGCTTCCCAGTCATAGAGGTTCTTGGGAGTGATGAGTACCACGGGCACTGTCCCAGTTTGAGGCATCTGCACTGATACAGGTTGTCCAGCATAAAACCCAGTAGGGTATTCCCTGGATTTAGTGGAGACTTTTGGAGCAATTGTGATAGTGAATACAGAACAGGCTTTAGTTTTTGGTCAACTACCTCCTCCATCTGTTGTTTAGTTGATAGGCAGTTGGCAGATAGGCATATGGCAATCACAGGTGACACTCAGATTCATGAGTTTTAGCAAATTGCTTAAACAACCTATTAGTATGTTCAATAATACCATTGGCTTGGAGGGTAATAGGGGATGTGAAATACCCAGCAAATTCCCTCTTCTTTGGCTCAGTCTTGTACTACAGTAGCTGTGAAGTGTGTCCCATTATCACTTTGAATTTCCTCTGGGAAGGGGAGTGTACTAAACTACTGTTTGAAGCCTCTTACCATGATTTCCCTGCTCACTGATGCAAACTTAGTTGTCCTGGTGAGACTAGAAATAACTTCCACTCCTACCAGGATAAATTTTTTCATATCTGATAGTCACAATGGACTGATACAGTCAATGTGCCGCAGTGTTTTCTTATCTCCAATATACAGAGGAGGTGGCTTGCTCAGCTGGTCCCTGTTAAGTCACAAACAACAGTGTGAACAGGTGGTTGCTATTCGCTCGCATAGTTTAACTGATACAGGCAATCTTTGGGCAATGCCTTCTTGATATAAATCAGCCCATCAAATGTGGCCCTGTTCAACATGTGACCATAAGAGCAGGCACTCCCAATCTTGATCATGGACAGCAGCATCAATCTTCCACAGATGTGTAAAGCTGTCCACCTGCTGGTTAAACTAAGCAGCCATTATATTTGATCATGTCATTTAACCCAACCAATGTACAACACACTCTTTTTTCCTATTTCTAATAACTGTTTCAAGCTATGAGCTTGTCAGACTGGGACTCTGTTCACCTGCCAGTCATTGGCTTCCCAGGGGCTTATCCAGTCAGTGACTCCTTTGAAAGTAGCATACAAATCAGTGTAAATATGATCTGCAATGTATTGTGCAGCTAGTAGAAGTGCTCTGGGTTCTCCCACTGTTGTCCCCCTGTGCACTTCCTTTATCTGTCACAGAGGGGAAAAAGAATTCTAGCCCAGCAACTCGCAGGGCTTATAGAGAGGGTTTTAAACAAGGTTTGAAGGGGGAAGAGGATGACACCAGGCTCACTAGAAATGAGCCACAGGGTAGCATGCCATCATTGGAGTCCAGATTCACAGGGCAACTTAAATGCATCTATGCCAATGCCTGCAGCATGGACAACAAATAGGAGGAGCTGGAAGCCATTGTGCAGCCAGGAAATCATGACATGAGGTGGGGGTTGGTTTCTTCTCCCAGATAACAAGCTATAGGACTAAAGATAATGGCCTCAAGGTGAGCCAGGGGAGGTTTAGATTGGATATTAGGAAAAATTTCTGCACAGATCATGTGAGCCAGCACTGGAATAGGCTGCCCAGGGAAGTGGTGGAATCACCATCCGTGGAAGTGTTCATTAACCATATAGATGAGACCCTTAGTTATATGGTTTAGTGGTGGTTTTGGCAGTCCTGGGGTAACGGTTGAACTTGATGATCTTAAAGGTGTTTCCCAACCTAGCTGATTCTATGATTCTATCCTATGATTCCCAATAGGAATGCTGCTTAGGGACAGTGGGTTTCTGGTCAATGCCGTTAGGTGGCATCATACCCCTATGGACGAGCTCCAAAAAGGCGGAAGGGTCCTTGTATGATCACTGTTTGGTTTGTTCTTTTCTACCTGTTGTGCTGCTTGTACCAAGGACAACAGTCCTTTCTCAAGATCTGAATATGTTGTTTCAGTATAAATAAAAGAATTAGAACAAAACTCTCATGGTCTCTCTGAGCCATCTGGTTCCTCTGCCAAAAATTACAATGAGAGCCATGCTCACTAAAGCTGTACTCCACATGAACAGGATCATCTGAATGTATGGGTCCCAGCTGTTGGAATAACCTTAAGTCATTTATCAGCAACTCTAGTGTATTTGCATGTTGTTCAGTCCGTTTCGGTGCTTTCCCCTTTTTGAGCAAATTATAGAGAGGTCGGGTGATAATAAAACCCCTGGAATTTGGTTTTGCCAATACATCAAAGTTCCCAGAATTTGCTGCACTTCCATGGTACTCAATTGCCTCAGAGTATTAAGGGGAACAAAAGTGGCACCTCTGACCCCCCATGGTCCTAAGAATCTTACTTCTTGTGTCAGTCCTTGACATTTTGATTCAGGAATGTTCAGGCCGAAATCTGTCCATTTTTCCTGAAGTCCTTTCATGACAGTGTTAACATTCTCTGTATTTCCCCCCCCCCATCAGTATGTCATCAATGTACTGATAGGTTGTAACCCCTGGTGGTACTGGGAATGTCAACAGAATGTCTGGAAATGCATTGTGAGCAATAGTAGGTAACTGTTCATAACCTTGGGGAAATCTATTAAAGGTGTATTGTACTCCTTTCTACATGAAAAAGAATTGATTTTTGTCTTGATCCTGTAAAAACATATCCTGTACATCTGGTGTCACCATCCAGGTATGGGATGCTCCTTGAATCTGTGTTAGTAATTCAATAGCACTTGGTACAGTGGCAGTTAAGGGTGCAGAATTAGCATTTAGGTGCCTGTAGTGCACTGTAAGTTGTCACTGCCCATTTGTTTGTTGTTTTTTTTTTCACTGGCCATACAGGGGAATTGTAAAGCTTGTGAGAATGCCTCTATTCTAAATCTGTCACCACCCCATCAGTCCCTGCCTGAGCAGCTGCTAGCAACAGGCATTGTTGGATGTTGGTAACTTTAGAGGAGAGTAAAAAGGAATAGATGCGGCTAGTAAGTACAGTTTAGCTGTGCCACTTTCCTTAGGATCAACGTTTATCCATTCCCCATTACTGCAGCCGAAACTCCACACCACTCCATCCTGGAGTTTCCAGGCTTGCCCATACAGCACATTAAAGCCTAAAATATCATCATATGCTGTGCCATCAATGCCTCAATTTTAGTTAGTTTTTGTTTTGTTTTGTTTTGTTTTTTTTTCCCTGGCCACCAGAGTATGATTTTTGCAGTGGGGCTTTCTCTTATTTCAGTTCCTTTGAATTTAGTTTTACGTTGGCTAAGCTTTACACCAGGAATTTCTGCCATTTCATTAGTGTTGGCATTTGGGGAATTCTACCAGTATTTTCTGGGCTCCAGCAGGGATTGCAGTAATGGGTTGAGCATGTTGACTGGAGAGACATGGCACTGTTAACACCTACCAGCCAGGGTAGCTCTCTGCCCACCCCGGGGTTTGGGGGGTTTTCTTGAGGGTTCTTCCAGATCGATGAAACTGTGCTCTGGTGTAGAGGGTGCACTTTCTTTGTGAGGCAGTAGTTTTTTAACTGATTGGCTTTCTCCACCCAAGTTACCTCTTTTATGTAGAGATTGAACTAACATGCGGATGTTGCTGGTGGAGACACCGTGTAACCACTGTCGGGGTACCCCTAATTCTATGGCTTTTCTCCACCAGTGATTCCGTTCCTTCTCAAATTTGGAACTCTCCTGGAATTTTGGTTTTGGAGTACCCATCTGATGGACTCGCTGACTAGAATCCAGGGAATGGGGTGGGTTTACAGTTGAACTGGCCCATCCGATTCTGCATCCGTATGATATAATCTCCTGTGCAAATTCACTCCAAGTGATTATGTGAACTTGATTCTGCCCAGGACTCTGGCTATCACGGTCACCCTTATTACGAGCTCGGGATTCCTCTATGCGATCTAGGGTGTGTGCTGCATGCATTTTAAGGCAGTCTGGAAGTCCACAAATGAGAAGAATTAATCGTGTTGGGTCAATAGGAGCTAACATTGGGGATTTTCTTGTCACATCTCTCTCATAAATCGCTTGTATGCATGCTGCTTTCTGCACCGACACAGCAAAATCAGAAAAGTCGGTGGTATTAATCACCAGCGGCTCTCCTCTGTCTTTTGGGTTTATACTGCCTGCCCAGTATGCAGCCCGTGCAGTCAGGGAATAATTGTGATCGCCTGCTGTGGTAGTTAGAAACACTCCTGGTCCCCAGTAGCCTTCTGCTTCCTCTTCACTCAACAAAATTCGATCCCCTCCCGAAAGGGAAACTCGCCACACATACTCAACTTCAGATTCTCCTGGTTGCCTTGAATATTTTTCCTGTAATTCCACTAATTCCATTGGTGACCAGGGGATTGGACGCACAGTGGTGCGAGTTTTATCATCTGACAACTGTTTCTCTCTGCGCTCAGTTAAAGCGAGCAGAGTTTTAAGGCGGTCAACCTCAGTCTTAAGATGATTATTTTCAGTTACAAGTTCATCAACTCGGATTCCCAGTTTTTTTCCTGCCTCCCTTTCAGAACTTAATGATGACTTCAATACCTCATTTTCTGATTTTAGAGTTAAATATTCTGCATCAGCAATTAGTTTGGGAGCAGGGACATCTTTAGCTTCTTTCTGTGTACGAGATAAACAGGCTCTTAAAACTGTGTTCCAAAAATTTTGAGCCCGCTTGTTCCCAGCCTGGGAAGGGGTGCATTTCTGTTCCTGTAGTAGCTTTTCCATAGCAGTCCTGCCAACTATGCCAATTTTCTGTCACAATTAGCCCGTCAGAGCCCTCTGAAGGTGCTCCACTGGACAGCACACTATATCGAAGGGTGATTCAGCTGTCCTGTTTAGGGATTCGTGATAACAGATGCACCCATTGAGTAAATTATTCAAGTTTCCAGAAACAAACTAAAGGAGATCTCAGCTGAGAATTTTTTATATATAAATTTGTGGCAGATTAAGGTTTGAAGATGCTGTTGGCAGTACACTAACTGCAAGAACAAGTGTGAAATAACATACACAAAAACATATACAAAAACATATACAAAATACAAAATTAGTGAATTATTAAAGCATATAGAGTATAGTTCTTACCCAGTAGGTGTCCCTATGGGGGGGGAGAAGACAGATTCAAACTGTTGACTGATCCCAGTAGTTACGATGGAATCTTCCCTAACTTTTCTTTTCCTGATTTTGCATATTTATACAATTCAGTTCAGGTTAGTAACTCCCCATAACCCTCCCACCATGTACGGATTGGCCATCTGATTTGCATACGGTTACATCATGGATTTTCTTTCTGCGCATGCTGAGAGAAGGATCTCAAACCTGGGCAGGGGTCTTTTTGACCTGTGGGTGTGATTTTTAGTATTACAATGAGAGTATAATGAAGATAGTTCATCTAAAGGACACCCTAATCATGTTTGCTGGCATGTGAAGCCATATTTTGATGATGTCCAGCTGTTGTCAGGATGTACCAGACTTCAAGGGTAGTCATTCCTGATTAGAGGTTTGTTACTCCTGTTTCCTCAGTCCGCCTACACAAGGCCAGAGCCTTCTCTCTTGCTATCAGGTCTCATAAATCAGTGTTGTTCCTAGGTCTCCTGACCTTGTTGGAGGCCCTTGTATCTGTTCAGGCCTTTTCACAGTAACTGTCTCTATGCGTATGGAGCTTGAATGACTCCAGTCACGCTCTTTGTTACTGATGGGTGTAAAATCCTCTTGCTTTGCTTTTAAAAACACGAATGTAGTTTGCTTGTTTGGCAGCTGTGTGCAATTTATCAGTGCACGGTGCTTTCAAGTTCCCACTCCTGCAGGAAGTATAACAGAGCCTGGCTGCAGGACGCTCACTCTGCTTCACCCTCCAATCAGTTTCTCTTAGCATACGCCAAGGTTGCAGGGGTGCCTGAGGAACTATCTTCTGGGAGATTCCGTGCATGCCAGCCGCATTCCATGCTGGAAGTAGCAGCTGCATTTTACCCTAAAATTTCCTTAGTGTTACAACTTTTGGGGCCTGGGGAGTGGGGTGTTCTCTAATTTCCCCATTTCCCACTCTGTCCTTCCATTGCAGTATACATGGTAGAGAGATTTCTCAGAAGTATTTTTAAGTACTATTTAACTGAGAACTGCTTTGTGCACCTCCTCCTCCCTACCTAATTCTTTGCTGGTGTCCAACTCTTGCAAATTTTCTTTCAGTCATTATATTGAAATGAAATGAAATGGTAGTGAAAGAAAATATAATCATGCAGTGCTAAGAATTTCCTGTTTCACTTTAGAAAAAATCAAGCAGTGTTACTTGCAATTAAATGCAAATGTTTATATTTTCATGTTCTTTGGGATGACTAAATCTTCTCTTCCAGTGTTTTGAATTGCTAAGTAGTGTAGAAATAACATATTGTACAGTGGCCTGAAGATTTTAATTAGAAGCGGAAGGCTACTGTAATAAGAACTCGTGCTGTGGAAAGTAATATACTTACATAAAAGCATGTGATGGTGTTATTTTGATGGGATATACAGATTATTTGTTTACTGTTTGTTTATTTTGTTATTTGCTTGGAATAAATTTGCTGGATGTAGAGTACTTTTCATATTATTTCAGCTATCTTTTTGTCTTCTGTCTAGGGACAGAGGTAGTAAAACCATACACACCTGTATTGCCTTTTTTGCCACTGGATTTCCAAGAACCATCTTGCCATGATAGTGCACATATATATTTAATGATTAAAATTTATCCCCGTGGACTGTTCACACAGGCCCTTGACCATCTACAAATTGGTAAGTATATGCTGGGGTGGTTTTGTAGTGTTTTGTTTTTTTTTTCACTTTATCTTTCCAGTTTCCCTGCCTGGGTATTGGATTGTTCTTGTTGTTTACCTTACACATCAGGACATATTTATAACTTTTTAAAAATCTTATTTTCTATGCCCTCACTGTAACTAGCTGTCCATTACATAAAGCTCTCCTGTCTGATCATCCAAATATGTTCATGTTTAACTGTTTTGATATGTTAACTATATCACACATTACAGTTGATCACTTTGATAGTATATATTCTATAGAACAACTTTTTGTACTTTTGAATAAGGAAAACTAGGTCTGTTTTATGTGACTTAAGATGTATTTCCTTTTCCATTTCAGATACTGAGGTTGATTTTTAACACTCAATTTCACAAATGTTTATTAACTCATACAGTGTAAAATGCATCAAGACAGTATGTTTTAATTGAATATCTCTTCTTTTAACAAGAATCCTTGATCCTTGTGTAAAATGCATAGTACCTTTCTGAAAGGAACCCTAATACTAAGATGAAGGCAGTATGAAATGGCCTTGAAAAACCCCATAATAGTGATTAGCCTGTTTTCTTCTCATTAGTGTTCACCTTCTTTTATTTTTTATTTATTTTTTTTTTAATAAAGGAGACTATATTTCTGTCAGCAGTCCTGAAGGTAGCTTCAAGAAGTCACAGGTTCAAACTTCAGAAGAGCTGTTTTTATTGGCAGCAGGCACAGGCTTCACACCAATGGTTAAACTGCTGAATTTTGCTCTGACTGAAGTTAATTGCCTCCGGTATGTACACTTTTATGATTTAACCCTAAAATAGAGTAATCCAAAGGAAGGATGAAACATAGTGGGCAAGTCTCGTTGTTAATAAAATGATTAACAACATAAAGTGCTATGCAACCATTTTTCTTCAATTTATGCAAAAAGCTGGCATGCTTTAGGGAAGAGTCTGTCAGAGTCTTTGGCAACTTACGCTTACTTGATTCTCGGCTAACATCAACAAAATGGACTGATTTATATTTTGGATTTTAGTTGTAATACAAATGAGCTCGCTCTAAAGGGTTTTGGTTTGCTTTTCTTTTTTTTAACCAGCTTTGCATTTGAGTGCTTTTTTTAGTATTGAAGTATTTCAGTGTAGGTACTGGTTTTTGGACTGAGGTGGTTTGCAGCTGTTTAGCTAGGGCTTCTCTTAAATCTGTTAGAATAGCTAGCATACTTTTATATTCTTTTCCCCTGAAAACCAACTGTAATACATTTTTATCAGATGAGTACCAGCTTTCATAAAGTGCAAGTTATGTAAGCATAGCATTAAGTATATTAAAAATGGATAAAAAGGTATGTATTGTATATGTATTCTGCACTCTACTTGTAAAGCCTATAGAAGGAAGCATTACTTGTTCTTAGTCAAGTGAACAGGTTGTTTTGACCCCTAATGTGCTTCAGAATCCCAGAACTAGTACTTCTACTTGATCCGATTGTCCATTTACAACTGTAAGAGAGTGTACAATAGCTCAATTTCAAAGGGAAGTGCAGGGAATTACTGCAGGGGTATACTTCAATAGAGGTAAGATGTGCTTGCATTGCTTTTAGAAAAAATATTCCTCTAGAATCACATCTTGTATAATTTCTTGGCAGATTACATTTTTGTCAGTGTCAACTATTGTAATTTGGGAGAGTATAAAAATGAAAAATACAACTTAACTGGATTTAAGCTGTTGTGGAAGAGAGTTCAATAGATGTGCTACTGTTTTCCTGTAGCTTTGAATTTGGACTCTTGTAATGGAGATTAATTTCTGATACTGAGTTCTATTCAATATAAGCACAGGATGTTTTGGTTCATTATGTACCTTTATGAAGCACATTTTGAAGCAGCATAGAGAGATTATTTGCGAGATTATTTGGACACTAATCTTCGTAGTAAAGCTAAAAAGGATGACATGTACTGCAGAAATCTGTTTCTAGAAAAAAGTCTAAACCCAGGCATTATTCTTGTCTTGTTTATTGTTCAGCAATTATATATAATCCTATTTTGTGAGCAGCAAGACTCTGTTCTGTTTGGCTTTTCCAAAGAGGCTCTGTGAATCCAAAAATAAATCTGTCATCTGACAAAGTGCTTGGGAAGCATTACTGAGTGAATTTAGAATAATTTTATTGGTTTTTTTTTTCTTTTTTGAGGGGAGATAAAAGTAGTTGTGATAATATGAAAACAAAGCTAACGAGAGCAAAATAAAAGATGCAAATCTTGACACTTTGTCAATAACTAGAATAAACAGACTAGATAATGTGTGTGAAATACTACTTCTTCACAGATAGTGTTTGTTTCTACTCTGTCCTTGAAAGGTGACCAGAGTGGCTGATTTTAACTCTCTTCAGCACATTTTCTCATGGGAACTTTATGCTCACAGTTAGTTTGGGATGCAGCAATATCTATTTTCTTACTAGTTGAAGTAAATGAATTTTTCCTTCTTGCCCTGGTAGCCTGTTAGGAGCTAGAATGACTTGATTTGGTACAGGTTCTGTTTATATGCAGATACTTAAAACTTTGCTTCTCTGACTGCTCTAGGCATCTTAGTTTCTTGGTCTTATATTTGCTCCTTAACCCTCACTTTCTCTTTTGGGAAAGCATTACAAGATTGTCTTTAGTATGTGTGTGTGTGTTCTTAAATATTATTTATACATGAGTTATATGTATATATAAATAGTATAAATATAATTTGCATTAAATTGTCTTACTGTGAAAAGTAATGGTTGCCATAAACTTGGATTGCACACATTAGAATGTGAATTGCAGAAAGTTGAGGAAGGATTTGAATAATGACTGACTTGTCACCTGAGGGTGCAAAAGTGGCCTCTGTAGTGCTGGGTGAGCACTGTTGAGCCTCTGGGGCTGCACAGCAAATGCTGCAGAAGCCACAGTTTCCCTAAGCAGCATTTGCTGTGCAGCATGTAACAGGCTTGGATCATTGGATTTCTGTTCTTGATATCTAGCCAAAGTCTCCCTATTGTCTTTGAATTCTGTTATTTCTTGCCTATGGTAAAAGTGGAAAGCAATTTGTTTTCTTCCTGTCTGCAGTATCCTTTTGTGCATGAAGTCATAATGCTCTTCTTCAGCCTTTTTTCTTCTCTTACAGGCCAAATAGTATTTGGCCAAAGTACTCATTTTAGAAGAATATCAGTCCTCAGTGGTGTTTTATCCTTTATAAGATCAGATTTTTGCTCCTTTTTGCTGGTGGTTTATAACTGCAATCAAATGGATACATTTCTTGAAAAAGACTGAGGCACAAGGGCGCTAAACACTACGTAGAGGGCTAACGTTCTTCTCAAGTAACTATAGGATGCTTATAGTTTATTCACAGTTCTCCTTGATAGTTGTGTCTCGTTTGTTCTCAGCTTTTCATTCTTAAATTACCACTCTGTTCTCATACTCACTTTTAATATAGTGTCCCACATGACTTTGCACACCAGTTTTTTGCGCTCTTTGAAATCTACACCCCTTGAAGTAGATTCCAGTATGTTAGATTATTCCTATTTTTTCCAAAGAGCTGATGAAGTTTTTCATTTGTTACCTAACTTCTGTCATCATTCTCTCAACCAGCTCTTCTGTACAGGTGGGGACCATATCTAAATCACCTCTTCCTTTTAGCTCTTTTCTCCCTCATTTTTAGCAAAACTGTTGTGAGTTCATTCCAAGTGTGGGGATTTCTGTTCTTTTCATAGTGCTGAGTACAGAGCAGTACTGCAGCAGATATATTTATCTGTGCTGGGAAGTATCAATAAGGGTGTCTCAAAGCATTATTCTCCAAATAACCAGTTTCTCTCCTTGGGTGCCCAGTGAACAAAATGCATGACTTTTCTTTGCACATTTTATTGACTTCATTCCCTACCTGAGTAACATTCAATGCTGTGGTGTACCATGCCAGGTTTGACAGCACTACGTTCTTGAAGAGAGCTTTATTTTCCATGTTTTCATGAAAGTGGGCCCTGGGAAACATGTGAGGAACTTGGACTTTTGGCTAGCTTCTGAATAAGATTATTTTAGTTACTTAAAGATGCAGCATAGCTTTTGGGGCTGTGTTGTTCCATACAGGTTTTCTAAAGCTTGTGTGTTGTAACTTATTTTCAGTTGTAATGCATGTGGAACTTCTTTCTCTCAGTAACACTACTGATGATGTGTATTACATACAACAGTCATACTGCAGTTTTACATTTTGGCAGCAGAAAACAAAACATGCTTCTCCTAAGTAGAAGATGATCTCTGTTCTTTGCCATCTAATGTAGTTTGTGAGAAATTTCTTGGTATCTTGAAGTGTTACCAAACTGCAGAAGGGGAAAAAGTTAGGAGTCAGAAAAACGTATCTTCTGACTGGGAGGATAAAGGCTTTTAAATTGCAGCTGGAGATCATGAACTCTCCACAGAAGCCCTAGCATTTGTGATATGCATGCATGAAAAATGGCTCTCTGCAAAGTATGGAGGAGGTGATGGAAATTAGTAGTAATCATCATACTTTGTTATATAAACATACTGTGTCTAGCCCTAGTCTCTTAGAAGCAAGGTCAGCTACATGGAAAAGGCACACTGTATAGTGGAGTGCCATGTTACAGAACTGGAACTACAGGGCTGTGTGGCATGCAGGGCCAGCAGACTTAGCTGACAGGTTACCCATGTGAACATAAATACATGCTCTGTCATTAAGGCCAGTGCTATTATCCCTTCAGGTTTTTATGCGTCAGTGGAGGTAAAACACAAAGCGACTGACTTTACAAAACAGAATCTACAATTTGATGAAGCCACACAAACCTAAATTATTTATTACTAATGACAGACTAATACCCTGGGGACAACTGATATGAGACAGACAACGTGCTGTTAAATACGAGCAGTTCCTGAACTGCATTCCACAGGGCTTTAAGTGGCTGTTGCTTTTTCCACTCAAATATAATGCCTATAAGCAGGTAAATAGATTTTCAGGTAAATAGATTTTATAAATCAACAAAGAAAGTAGAAATAAGGTAACTTAGTGCAGAACTATACTTTAGTCTTACAGCTGATTTTCTCTTTTATGTGTTTAGATTCCATCTTTATGAAATTAATACTGACATTAACCTTGAAATTCCAGTTTCTCCTGTAGGACCTGGTGAATGTAATATTACAAAGGCGGTCAGAGTTCATATACTGGTGACTAATTGTAATGCCCAAGCAATACTGAGAAACCACTAGATGAAATTTGGCAAGGTATACTGCCATCATTTGAGTCAGGTCTTAGTAACTTCAAGAAACTTTTTTTTCTTAGGGAGGCAGTTCCTGAACTAGAAGTTGCAACCACAGACAGGGTTATGACATTTAGAAGACAGGTCATAAGTCCAACAGACTTTCAGGTGCAGCAAATAAAAAAAAAACTATACTGGGTTAGCGGCAGAAAGATCTGAGGATTGCAGAGTTGCAAACAAACAAAAAATGTAAGTTAAAGGCTTCTGTATAATGCAGTAAGTTCTGATTCTTTAACATGTGTTTCAAATAGAGGAACAATCAGCAGTTAATTTTTTAATGTTTTTATTTTTTTTAAGGACAGTGAAGCTAATCTTCTTCAACAGAACAGAAGATGACATACTTTGGAGAAACCAACTAGAGCAATTAGCTCTTAAAGATGAAAGGTATTTAAAAGTACTCTGGAAAACAACTTGTACCAGCTCAGTGAATAGGAGAGCAAGTCTTGGGGTTTAGACTAACTGTACAGCTTTGACACAAAGACAGATTCTGATTCTGGGAACTTTTAGCCAGGAATTTAATGAGACCTAGGGAGTGTGAGATGTGCTTACATTGGTTACAGATGCATAACAGCAGGCCATGTCATTCGGATCTGTAAGTCCCATAGACAGACAGGGATTTGATTTGACAGTGCTTTATAGATGTTTGTTGGATACTACATGTTAGATGAGATGATCTTTGTGTCTGTCTGGGAAGGTTTTTGAATGTGAAGAAAATTAGCCTTAGCAATAAAAAATACAGATATGCAAAGAGAAGTACAGGAGTGCTAGAGAAGGATAGTGTACTCCTGGGAGCAACATTATGGATTTCAAGAAGTCTTGAAAAGTCTCTTTGGTGTCACATAGTTGAGAAAATAATAAGTTTAAATTAGCAGTTTAAATTAGGCCAGTTTCTTTCATTTATACTTTCTGGTTTTGAATTGTTTCATTTGAATTTGAATTGTTGCATTTTTTCCTTCATTAGAATGTAGTTGCAGATTAAAATGCACTACTGCACATGTAATGTCAATTTGGCTAGCAGGCCATAGCTCTTGTCAGGAGACATAGGAATACCAGGTTGCCTTTGAATTTCAGTACTCTTTTATCCCTAGATAAATTGTCACTGCCTAGACTTCCCATGATAGAAGTACATTCTGTTTACTGTACATTATGTTTACTTAATTGTTATCTGAAATTGTATGAGCAAATTGATTTCACTTGTTCCTTCACAACACCGAAGTGAAGAATCAATCAGGTTATTTCATAACCTGCTGGTGTCTGGCACATTCAAAGCTTCATAGTCTATATACTGTGCAAATTTACAGTAAAAACCCTTTCTTCCTTTCAGTAGGAGCCTCAGATACATGAATCCTTGTTTTTTACTCAGTAACTACTGTTAGTGACTTTTTGAAACCAGTTACAGTATTTTCTCATGAATGAGGAAATTGCACTGACATTTTCAGAAGCTGGGCTAAGCATTCTTATTTCATCACTTGCACATTGAGCTACACCAACATTTGTATAAGGGAATAACAGAACAGTAAAATCTGTGCCTTAGTATCAAGTGGTACCAGCTGTTTTTCTTTGTAAAGTGAAATATGCAACTAACATTTTTAAGATTGAAAGGTTGCACTGAATAATTAAATACACAATACTGGAGGTGATTTGATTAACTTGATCAGTAGCAATAGCTAAATGTCTGTGAGATCTGATGCTGTGCAGTGGCAGCTGAACAGAACAGGAAAGTAACCTTAGGAAACACCAGTATTTCAGTCACTAGCATTTTGTGTAGCGGATTTCTTCTAATCAGGGGTGATTATTTATGAAATATTCTTCTGCTTACCAGGTTTGAGGTTCAATTCATTCTCTCACAACCAGTAAGGGACTGGGTGGGTAAACAGGGGATGATTTCTTCATCTCTTCTCTCTGAGTTTGTGAAAAGAAGCAGAAAAGACTCCAAAGTCCTTATCTGCATCTGTGGTCCAACACCCTTTACAGAACAAGGAGTACAGTGAGTATTTTAAATTATGAACTAGAGAATGAGGAAGTTTTAAAAATCTGATTATCTAACCTGCTATAGCATTTCTCACTTGGTAGTCTTTCAAAAATGGCCTTCTACTTTCTGCTTTGAAAGAAAACTGGTGGTTTGGGGGTGGTTTTCTGGTTTTGTATGTTGTTTTTTTTTCTTTTTTTTGTTATTTTTGTTTGTTTTAAAATTAAAATTAAAAAACACTTGACATCATACTTGAGGAGAGGAGCTTATTTAGTGTGTAGCTAAGTAAGTATCAGCAATATGTAAATTTCATGGCTCTAGTAAGCTGTCCAAAACTTTCTAAGAGCGTGTGTTTAACAATAACCTTTTTTCCCCAGGGTTTTAAATGCTGCTTTTAATTTGATATTCGTAGCAAAGTTGCTATAATAGGAAATACTTCTGTGTTGGTGTTAGCTTGACAAATGGAGTTATAAAAAGTAAAATTCAGAGCAGTTGTTCTATCACAAGCCCTTCTCAATTTTTTTTTTAATTAATGCATTTATTTATGGCTGTACCTAATACTTTCTTTATCTTATATGCCATATATTTGAAGATAAAAGGTCCTCTCACTGTGTCTTGCCCAGCTGCAAAATATTGAACCAATATAGACATCACTTGCATTTCTGCAGCCCTACTGAAGTAAGGTGCATGGATCTAATGGAGGGTGGAATTGGCTAATAATTATGCTAACTTCAGAAATCTGAGATAATGCAAGTGATACCTCTATTTATTTTTAGTTTTTTTTTTGTTTCAGTATCCTAAAAGATCATATAGTACTTATGGGCTCCTGGGCTTGAATTGTTTTCTAAATGTATTAGCAAAGGTAAACTGCATTGTGCATGCCTGAATAAAAACAGGTGGTGCTCAAGTTAAGGTTTAGCTGTATCTGTGGTGAATTTTGTTCTCCAAGTATTAATATTGCAAACTTGATTTCTGACTTTCAGATATTTGAAGGATCTTGGTTACTCCCAAGAAGAGGTGCACCCTTTCACTGCATAATCCCATAGGAGAAGATTAATGTTTGTATAATTCAATGTTATTTATTTACCTTCATGAATTTAAATAAGTGAGAAGCAATTTTGTAAGACTTGAAATCTCGCTCTTGGTACCAAACTGTTTCTCAGAAGTAATGTATCTTTGAAAAAAATTTATAATGTGTTTTATCTTGGTTTTGTAAATATTTTTGCTAATACTTAAGTCATCCAGGGTATTAATTTATTAAAGAGGCAAGCAAAAATGCATAGTGTACATTATGTAAGATATTTCATGGTTTTGGTTCATGAGAATTCTTAAATTTATTAGAAGCACTGATTTCAGGTTTGAATTGAAAAAGATTATTCTTTCTTACTGTAAAAGGTCTTAAGAGCAATACTGTCTGAAATGAAATATTGCACTGTAACTCAGGTAACTGGTCATTGAAAAATGTTCTTTTTCATCTGATTTCTCTATTTGACTTGCAAGTGATCCAGATACGTTTTTAGCTTTGTAAGCAAAGAATAGAAGTACCTTTGGTAAAGTATAAAATTTACATCAAATAATAAAAAAAAATTACAGTTTTACATCATGCATTGTTGTATTTTTTTTTTTTACTTTTATAATGTTATACAGAAAGGTTTGCACTAGCTTAGGACACAAGCTGAGAACTAAGAACAGAGGTAAACAGCTGTGGCCTCTCACAAAACTTTCTGTGTGGCCTCACTGATACTGGGCATCCGCTGTTGTGAGACATTCTGGGGGTAAAAACTTGACAGTTTATGCCCTGCAGATACCACTGTAAGGACCACAGAAGTACTAAAAATATTTGATACATTGCAGTAGTATTAAATGAGGTTATTTGAATTTGGGCTTTTTTACTCCACTATTTAAAGTATGTTATCATGAGGCATTAATCTGCTGTCTAATAATAGTTTGAAGAAAACAGCAGCAAAGCAGCTACCCCCTTTCTAGATATTGTCGGTAATGTCTGGAGGCATTGTTTTGTGTGACATCTAGCACTGTTTACATCCTCCTATTATGTTGAATAGATATTTTTTCTTCCAAAGTAGTAGCCAGACTTGCAGTTGTGGCATTAATACTTAAGCATTCATGAGAAAATGTTTTAATAATACACTTCAGAAAGGTGAAATTGATAGAAGACTTGTATTATAGGGTGTTATACTGGAAGAAGGAATTCACCAGGTCCTACTGTTGAGGTAAAAATCAATTTAATCTATTGGTGGTGTAATTGATACAAGAATAATTTGTGGTGTCGCTAGGATTTCTAAGAAATGGGGACAAGTGGGTCTAAACCATGGGAGGATATCCTGAAATCTCCCTTAAAATGTGTATTGAAACACTGAAAGCAGATGGGAGAGGATCCTTTAACCAAGGCAAAATTAGTACAATATAGCAATCAGTGAGGGCCAATATATACATTGGAAGAGAGAATGCCCTCCGAGGCTGTCTGGGGAGGGAGCATTGAAACTTTCCTTAAGTCAACAATGAGGAGGACCAGGGAAACAGACCCTAGCTGAACCCCTGGTTACATTTGAACTGGAGAAACAAAAAGTATTTTTTATTAGATACAGGGGCTTCATTTTCAGTTATAAATACCAAGCAAGGTAGTTTAAGCAAAGAAGCTGTGATCATTGTCAGTGCGACTGGAAAAATGGACTTTCTTTAACGCCATTAATTTTAAATTTGGCAAGCAATAGTTAACTCCTCCGTTTTTATATATGCCTGAATGCCCAATACCCCTCCTGAGAAGAGACCTGTTAAGTAAACTGGATGTTCAAATCATATTTAAAGGGGGAGAAGTACAGTTATTGGTACCCGAGACTAAAGCCGTCAAGGCAAGGATTTTTATGTTGCAGGGAAAAACAGAACCAAATAATCTTGAAGGAGTACCAGAGGAAGTAGAAAATGCAGTAACACCCCTGATTTGGGCTAGCGGAACTCCAGGATGTTCCCAACAAGCTCAGCCTGTAAGCATTACCCTAAAACCTGGATCGAGAGTGGTAAGACAGAAAAAAATACCCTTTGAAATTAGAAGCAAGAAATGGAATAAAGGGTTTGATAGAAAATTATAAGAAATTTGGGTTGTTAATGGAATAGGAGTCAGAGTACAGTACTCCTATCCTGCCTGTTAAAAAAGCCTGGAACAGGCAAGTATAGATTAGTGAAGATCCAGGGACTATTAATCAAATAGTTCAGGATGTCCACCCTGTCATTGCCAATCCTTACACTTTATTAACATCCCTCACAGAAAATCATCAGTGGTTTATAGTAATAGATGTAAAGGATGCCTTCTTCTGCATACCTCTTGATCAGCAAAGCCAAACCGTTTTCACTTTTGAGTGGGAAAACCGTCAAACTGGTTGTAAGACCTAACTTTCCTGGACTGTTCTAACTGAAGGGTTCAAGAACAGTCCAACAATATTTGGAAACCAAGTAGCGAAAGAGAAGTGCAGAAGAAAGATAATCCAGAAAGGTTGGTCTTGCAATATGTAGATGACATTTCGCTGGTGATGGAAACTAAAGAGAAATGTGTGGAACTAGCATTTAGCCTTTGAATTTTTTGCACCAAGGAACTAATAAAGTATCTCGAGAAAAGGCTCAAATTGTAACAAGTTACCTACCTGGGGTTTGAAATGATACCAGGACAGCGGAAGCCACTTGTCCAAACAAAATACTACATGGGCTTGGATTTTAGCCTACTGGTTGGCTTGCTAACTTGTTGCAAACAGTAATTGTAATTGTTGTAATCATTATATTACTTGGGATTGCTTTAGGTTGTATTAAGAAAATCATCACACAAAATATGGCAGGAGTATATGTTACTGTTGACAAAACTAAAGTTGAAACATATCAAATGGCTCGAAGGCCTAGAAAAGTTTCAAAAGGGGGGGGAAATGGTAGGAGTAAAACAGTTTTACCCATTGTTAGCTGAAGCAAACTGCCAAGTTGATCTTTAACCAAACAAAACCATACACGCGTCAAGAAGGCACAAGAGAAAGGGTAAAGAACATTCTTTGCCTATCCAGCTCACTGAACTGGGAACCATTCCTCACAAAGCCAGAAGAGAAGCCAACCTAAGACCATAAAAGGAAGACAATGAGAGTTCAGCCGAAGGCCAACAAAGATACAACCACCTTGGGGCCCTCACCCAAAACAACCTGCGCCTGCTCTAGTGGATAGTAACCCATGTTAATTAGTTCCGGGAAGAAATTACAATATGTGTGAGATTTCTGGGAGTTACAGTGCATGTGTATGAGAGGAATGCTTATAAGCAAGAAACCTGTAAGAATCGGCATGCACGTTAGGCAGAGCTATCCCCTGTGCGCTGTAATAAGTGATGCCTGCTTCTTAATGCTACATCAGTATAGGAGTTTCATTTTCATGACTTTCTGTGACAAAATTGGTATCTGACAGTGACTGGCAATGATAAAATGAGCTGTCATCTCTACAGTGCCCTTTCATATATTGAAGTTAGCAAAGGATTTGGTTGTCAGTTTTTGCCAATAGGTAGCAAGTTATTTCACTAGAAATGGTGATAGTGTCATCATTTTGTCACCTAGAAGGATCTGAATGTTTTCAGTTACAATTTTGCAATGGATTATTTGGGGTGATTTGTACTACAAAGCTCTGAACAGGTTTCTGCTGAGCAGAAACATCAGTGCTATGCTGGAAAAAAAAACAAAATGCCAACAAAACCCTCAATGTGTTTTTATTATTTTTTCCTGTCACAAGTGCAGAATTATTGTGGTGACTTAGAAAATTACATTTTGGTATTAATGACTAAACTTTGTACCTTTGTACCTTAGGGTAGTGAGGATTTTCTCATGTTCCCATCACCCAGGATGTGATGGGATGATCTCCTGTGTAAAATAATTTTATTAATTGCCTCCTTCTCAGGCTTTTTGGTTTTAACAGGTTACTTTGCCTATATCCTGCCCCTTGTGCTTTGGTTGTCCTTACCTGCCTTTATCCAGAAGGACAAAGTAATCTGTGTAAGTAGCTGTTGTGACACAGTGTGTCAATGACTTCATCCTTTTCTTTAGGACATAGGCTGTATTTGTCAATAGATGATGACTTCTCGAAGGCTTCCTGCAGTCCATGTGGTGATCACGAATGTGGAACTACATCAGAGCAGGTGTAGAAGTTTGTGAAGTCTTCAGTTAATGTGCATCGGCTAAAGTTTGTTTTCAGTCTGGTGTACTGTTGGTAATTGCTGTTTACAGTTGCAGCTTGAAGGAATTGGTGCTCTTGGAGGCTTCAGGACCATCATCCTGAAGCAAGGAAGATGCTGACATGATCAGTTGTGTTCAGTGTTGTAAGGCAAGTAGGTCTTAAAATACCTCGAATGTGAAGCAAGGAAAGCAATCAAATTGGTAGTTGCCCTTGCAAGTCCAACAAGACATTGAGTGCAGATGTATTCTGCTGTGGTGGTTCTTCCAGGTCAGATCTTTATGGAGTTGGAGTAAGTTTCATTGATCTTCAGCTACTGCTGTCCACAGGAAAAAGAGTCCATTTCCATAGCCTGTTGAAGCTGTATTTTAAATGAAAATATTAATTTAATTTATTAATTTATTATTTTTTAATTAATAATTAAAATTAAAATCATTATTAATTGTATTTACTTTGTGATATTTAATATTTTTATTAATACTTAATAAAAATCTGAGTAATACTGAAATGCTGATGTTGTTGATGCGGACCAAAAGACTAACGTGTAAAAGAGAAATCCTTGGCGGTCTCAAAATGCAAATGTTTTACCTTTGAAATCTTTTGAAGGATCGCTTTTGGTAGTTAGTTTCTGTTTAACTCATTCAGTCACTGTCAAATACTGAGTTCAGAAGTCTTTCTGTTCATAATAAAAATTGAGTATGTAAATGTGGCCTAGTAAATGGGTGAGGCTGGTGCTTCCTGCATGAGATTGTCTATGAATCAGATAATGAAGTTATCATTTGGACCAGTGTGCTGTGGGGATCCCATTGCCCTGGGGGATTAAAAGAAAGCTGATGATCCTGAGATGTGACATGTTGAACATTAAATAGTGTTTCTGCTTTCCTTTGGGAAGTTGGTAACTTGTCTTCACAGGAGAGGTACTCCTCTGGACTTGGCTCCAGCAGGTCCACATCCCTCTTGTGTTGTGGTCCCCAGAGCTGGACACACTACTGCATGTGGGGTCTCAAGAGAGCAGAGTAGGTGGGGAGAATCACTTCCCTCTACCTGCTAGTCAAACTCCTTTGGATGCAGCCGAGGATACAGTTGGTTTTCTGGGCTGTGAGCTCATACTGCTGGTTCAAGTTGAGCTTCTCATCAACCAGCACCCCAGGTTCTTCTCCTCAGTGCTGCCCTCGATCCATTCTCCACCCAGCCTGTATTTGTGCTTGGGGTTGCCTCGACCCACACGCAGGACCCTTGCACATGGCCTTGTTGAATTTCATGAGGTCAGATAGGCTTGTGATGTAGTCTGTTTTAAAGTAATTAAGAATAATACTGTTCTGGAAAGCTTCATACTTTGGTATTTTGACTGTCACAAATTATAATCATTTAGGGTGGTTAACAATTTTTTTTAATTTTTTTCTAATACATTTGCGCTACAGTTGTGTTGTGGTGGCATCTAGTTCTCAACAAGTACATAAGGTTATTTTGTAACTTCTGATGGTTATAATGTATGGGGTTTTTTTTGTAACAGAGCAAGAGATAAGTATTTTTTGGAAACTAAAAAACCCTAAAACATATATCCAGTGTTTGGTGTTTCCTTGGCAGACTGTCAGCCTATGGTGTAAGTTTTTAAGAATTTTCACTATGAATTTTCCAGGGATGCAACATGTTAATTTCCTGGAAAACTGTGGAGTGTTTTGTCCTGTACTGGTACAAGTTTTAGTTCTTTAGCATTGGTTCAGTTGCCTTGTTGAAATAGAGTGGCTCTTCCCATAAGCTTCCAGTTGGTTAAAATTACTTTTACAGTAAGTTTGTGCTATCAGCAAAATGATACATTACCCAGCTTCTTTTGAAGCTGAGCTACAGGTGCAGGGGTATTTAATGGGAAGAGGAGAGAGAGAATAGGCTCTTGTGCTTTGCATATTGACCAGGAAAGAGCCATGCTTTCCTGGGAAATAAGATTAAAAGTAGAAGATGACATCAGAATCTTCTCCTATTACCTGGTTAATATCAGATAAACACTCTCTTGAATTGATGCTCTCTGCACCTCTGCATGGTAGTTCACCCAGAAGCAAACTCTTTTTTTTTTAGTTTTCAAAAAGGAAATTGGAAACGTTTATCAAAAGGCACTGGCTTAATTACTGTGCTGTCAGGGTCAAATGGAGAACTTACATGGAAAATCATTCATGGGGAAAAAGGGATATCTGCAGTCTCCCAGCTCTTTGTTTGGAACATATTTTGGATAAACTCATGTAATTTGTTACATTTACAGCTGTAGATATATATTTTGTGTAATTAAAATGGTAATTCGAAGTAAATACTTGAGTACAGTATATTAACAAGTCTGCAGAGAGACTATTCATAAAGTATTTAAGTTTCTCCACACGAGAAACATGAAAATAACAATAGTTAATTCGGTGTTTATATTGCATTTTGTTGTTGAAGACACACAGATTGAAACCCCAATTATACATAGTGATCCATGTGTAAAACTGCTTTATAGCTGGCTGCTGCATGCTGCTGATAGTAAAAAGGGATGATAAATTGTAACAGTTATTTGCCAGCTGTATTTTAAAAAACTCATCTGCTTGGGTTTAGTAAATGTGATGGAGACATTTGTTTGTAGGAAAATCCAATTGCAAATGTATTTGGTTTAGTTCAGAAATTCTTGCATACTTAAACACTGATTAAAACAAGGTGAGAGGAGCCAATGTGATGTGGTGTAATTGATAATGTCTCTGCTGCTGCTTAAGGAGATGTTTGTGTGTCCATTAAGAGGTAATTGTTCATACAAAAGCTCCCTTACTAAAACCACACAGTTAAATATAAGGAATTTGAAGCATGTCATCATTTAGTAGGTCCTCATTAACCAAAAAACCACATTCTAATGTTTTGTTTACACAGTGTTTATGATTTCACTGCATCAGTTGTTCCCATTCTTCTGTTGGAGATTCATTACAGAGTAAGGTTGAAAAATTTGCTCCATGTCCCCTCCCATGCATTCTTTTTTTCTGAGCAAAATTGATCCGGGGGTGCGGGAAGCCACAGAAACCTCCACGTAGGTGTGTCTTTAGTCATAGTAACTCTTGGCTGCTTTTCAAGAAAAAGTCCTGCATTACAAAGCACTGCAACACCCACCTTATGTTTAAAAAAGAGTCATAAACTCTGTGTGCCAGTGACTGTTCAACATCAGTGGCTCGTACTGCATGCACATGAAATAAACAGTTTGTTCTCCTCCCTCGTAAGACGGTATATTATCAGTGGCTTGGAAATAAACCTTTTGCCTTTTACGTCAGACTGCTGCATCCTGATTTTGCAGTTTGAGAAACCAACCAACCAACCAAAACCAAAGTAAAGCATAAACCCACCACACAGACCTGTGGAAGTGACACCCACAAAATCTGCACATTAAATCACAATTTGGATTGGAATTTTCAGAAACAAACCGTTTATGTGAGTTCACTGGCTCATAAAATGCTGCTGTAGAAGACTGGTGCATTTCCCCTCTCTCATTCTTCTTTTGCAGATAGGTCTGTAATGTGGCTCTTTGAGCTGCATTTGGAAAAAGGAGAGTAACCCCCAGATGTTCTCCTTCCACCTACAGTTTTCATTGCTTTGACCTTGTTAAGGCTTATATCCCTATAGTGATTCTTCCTAGACCACTTCAGGAGGGCATCTTTAAGAATGGCATTTTACATCCCCAATTGAGAAAATGCCTATTTAAGCATCATTTTTCAACAATTGAAATCCACATCACGGCCAAGTATGTAGTTGAAAGCAGTCATAATTTGACATTTGCAGTAAAGTGGAGGGACTCTCATTTCCAAGTTCCAAAGCTTACTTTCTGTTGAGACCAGCAGAGCTGCTTGATTCCCCCAAGATAGGCTCTCAAAACTTCAGGCATTTTGAGGTTGTAAAAGATGTAATTTAGGATGAATTGTCATACTTTTAAAAGCCTCTGATTTCCTTTGAAGTTTTTAATAGATCTGTTACTACTCACATCTAGCTTTGCACGAGTAGCTTAGCAGCAAATGGCCATTTGACGTTACTTCAACTTTCTAATCTACATGCACTGTTTGTTAAAAATGGCTGAAGTGTAACTTCAAGTTTTACTTACTCTAATACTTGAAAGACTTGTTGCGGATTCTAACTTTTATATTAAATCCCTGAAGTGGTGGACAGTATGCTGAATATCTAACATCAAGGCTAATTTCTATTAGCAAGTGAAAATGGTCTTTTTTAAGGTAGTGATGTTTGTGCTCTGCCTGTTTGCATTAGGCAGCATCACAGCATTATGTGGCTGTTGAAGTGAGCTGCTGACAGTCTGGTTTTCTCTTGTAATTAACCTTTATTGCTGGTGATGTGATCAAACAGGCACATTCCTGCAACTGTTCTGCGTTCCTGTGTGAGATGGTGTTTACAAAAGCATATTGCAGAGGAGCTTCTGTGACTTATAAAATATGCCAGAGAAATACAGTACTTCAGATCTTCAGACAAATGCTTCCAGCACAATTCTTGTATAGGATTCTG